GTGTTGAAATTGGCCACCGTCTTAGTAAACGGAGGGTTCCGATCAATCACCTGATACTCCGGCTTTGCCGATGCTGTAATGTCCGTGTTCATTTTCTTGTTCGTTGCCTAGCTCTTCTTCTCTCTGTTCTGTCTGAGATTTCATTCTAGTGTCTAAAATGGGCTATCTATTCAGGCCCCCGTTTGATCCATTATTTGGATTTATAATGGAAAATAGTATTTTTTTTAAATAGATAATTATTAAAAAATGAAAATTTTCAATTTACGTATAATATTATTTTATTAAAATTATGTAATTGAAAATATGAGAGAGAAAAATTTAAATTAAATTAATAAATTTAATGGTGCCAAACGGGGCTCAGCAAGCCCAAAGTTGCATCTTACGCCCCCTCTCTCTCAGTAGAAACTCATTTACTTAATTTAAAACCTAAAATAATAATAATAATAATAATAGTTTTGAACAAAACCGTTTAAATTTTAAAAAGATTATTTATTTCGTACTTTTTCCACCCCATATGATTATTTTCTAATATGACACTATGCCTTCTATGATATCCTTCCCTTGATAGATTATCGTAGGATTGGATTGAAAAAAAGGAATGGAATGCGAGCATGGTATAAAGTCAAGCACGTATTAGATTTTCGCAACATGGTGAATCATATGTAATTATAAAGTCACTTAAGCTGCCCAAACTAAGCAACTCTAGTATTGCAAGGGATCCATTTACTAGATGCAAAATAAAAAAAGATTTTTATAAATTAAAATTCTTTTAATAAATCTAAGTGTCGACTACATAAATATTCTTCGTAATTTTGTTATGTTAGTAACAGGATCTAGTGTGAGGTTTAACAAATGATATAAAAAATAAACCGAATTACAAGAATTCAAATGTAATCGTTTGGCTAATAAAAAAATTTAATTAAAGTTGAAAAATTTTGTACAACTAAAGGACTAAAAAGTAAAAAAACACGAATTGGAAAAATTTGCTGCGCACATGGCCAAATTGAAGCTCCACGGATTCTCTTACGGCTAACGGCCGCATATGGTAATTGACAACTGGGACACAGCTTTTATGTATCTTATGACATACGTAGATTTATGCATATAGAATTGTAGTGTAAGAGGTGACTGTATTTGATTTGTCTCCGATAATCCAATTCCAAATAGATAAGGTTTTGCCCCCACCCAGCACCGTCTCCACGTGATTCCCTCCATTTGCCAACAAAAAAAAAGAATAATATTAATTAACTCGTGATTCTAGTAAAGTAAAAGAATAAAAAATAAATACCTAGTCTCTACATCGAGAGCAATCAATTTGAAGAAACACATAAACATGGAATTGTGGTTCCGTTTGGCCCCCTTGCTCTTTCTTATTTTTAATCATACAATTTTTCATAAACTAATATTACACGTAAATATTTTTTTTTAAAACTTTTTTATCAACCCCACGTTCTTGAAAAAAAAAAAATACTATTTCAAACATTAAAATTTGGGTTGGGGGAGGGGTCAAACGGGGTTATGTCGTCTCCCGTTGCTACAGTATTTTATTATGATAAAGGAAAAAATATCTACCAGAAAAAATCATGCTCTAACCTTCTCTAACCTCTCTTTTTGATGATAGTCATGAAACATAAGGACGACTCCCTATTTATACAATAAATGAGGGGGAAAATCGTATTTTATAATGACTCCAATTCCTTAATAGAATTTACAAGAATACAAATTCTTAAATTATCCTTGCCGAAATTTAGGTCTGGGGGCCTCTGCCTCCTACAACCCGGGGAAGGGGGCCTCTTGCTTCCTTTCAACCCCCATGATGATTTCATTATAGAGGTTGATTCGCAACCAGTTTCATGAAGTGACAATAATTATGATTGACAATAATTAGACTCCACACTTAATATTTTATTATTAAGTTGTGTTTATTGTACATATAATTTATATATAGGGGTGTCTACACCCTTCACATAGGGTGGGATCCACGCGAGTTGGGCTCCACCTCATGTGAAGGATGTGAACATCCATATATGCATATTTTATTTACACTATAACTTATCCTTTATTATTATCGTCAACCTAGCTTGCTCGCTCAAGAAAATGTTTTACTGACTTCTTGACCGTGTTGAAATGGAGGTTGTTAAGTTGACTTTCGTTGCCTCTCCAATGGACTAAACAACACTTTATCGAATCAAAAAAGATTACAAATCTATTTTTGAACAATTTAAGTCTTAACATCTTTTTTCTCCATCTTTTACACCGTTTAACCTTCAAAAAGTTCTCGACGACCTCATTTTAACTTAAAAATATACAGCGAAAAAAAAAAAAAATGAAAAGATAGTTTTTATGATTTCCTTTTTTTAACCTTGTTTAGAGACTTCGTCTTGGTTTACTATCATTTATAAATGGTCTACAATCGACCGTGCTCTTGAAATAATACAAATAAATACAATGGAAAAAAGATTAGAAAATTTTTATGAGTATGAAATATTAGTAACGTTTCTTAATCATTTTAATTAGCTAATTGTATATTGTAAAAATAATGTATACGTTGATAATAAATTATAAACATAAAAGTTTCTTGGATTTTAAAGAATGGGAAAAATGGTAAAAATATCAAATAAAAAGAAGTGGAATAATCTTAACTGTTAGTTTTCATTTTTCATTTTTTTTTTCGAAAAAGATTTTATAGTACATATTGAAGAAATATAAGCAGAAAATGTGGGGATTTCATTTTTACAACTGATGGCCCGATTCTAACGCAGATCCGAACCACCCTATCAATATGATATTTTTGTATAATATCTAAAACCAGATAATTTTACTAACCCTTACATTTTCAAATTCCATTATCTATTTTTCAATATATAAAAAAATTATTAAAAAAAAAAAAGAGAGAAAAATGAGGAAAAAAGGGAAGAAACTGCTTTCCTTCCTACAGTTTTGCCGCTTGAAATGGTCCTTTATATTTCCAAATAACCATAATGCCCCTCTATTTTTATATAATTAATTTATTTTCCTTCAACAATGCCAAAATTTAACATTAACCGAATATTGTCTTATTATTTGAGCTCAAAAACATCAAACACGACGAGATAAAAATAAATTATTTTCATTGTCGTTTTGTAACTACAAACTTGATTTTGGGATTAGTCTTGAGTCCGTATAATTTTTGTCCTTGACCAAAGTAATAACAAATGACAGTATTTATAAAAAATTATTCGGCTAAGTGTGATGGGACCCATTAATAAAATTTAAATAATATGATAGAAAATGAAAGAAAAGATAAAGTTATTATCATTTTAAATCTTGAAAACAATCAAACGATTGGTATTAAGGGTGGACCATTTCGTGTTTTGTATAGAGACAAAACTGAGAAAAACCAGATGTGCTTGGGGCCTACACGTGTGGTTTAATTTCCACACATTGGAATTTCCGATATCAAATTATTTATTTTCAAAAATTACACAACATGCAATTAAATATTTAATGGGATTTTACTAATTTGCAGGGATAGTTTTGTAAAGCCATTTTCAAGCTGGCATCAACAATATCGTAAATCTAGGAAAATTTGTTTATTCATGAGATTACCTGGAAATTGTGAAAAATTAATTATAATCTATTTATTTGAAGAAAAAGAAATTTATAGCTATTTAGCAAATGCTGCTGAAGTGAAGAGGCACAGTGCCCTTTAAAGCATCCTTTTCTTGTCATTTTGCTTCGAGAGATTAGATGGTTTCTGTTTGTTTATGCTGAGGATTACAGAGAGTGAAGAAAATAGTGAGAAGAGAAAAATAGAGAGAGAAGAAACATGGATGAATAGATAGAGAAACCAAGATTTTCTTTTTCCCTTCTGTCTACAGAATTTACAGTTACTTCAAGATCTTGAGAGGGTATGTTGGATTTTTTGTTCTTTGATTATCTTTAATATATGGGTTGGGTTTAAAAATTAAAACAGTATATTGCTAGTAAAGAATTTGCATGTGTTTTAAGGATACTTTTTAACGTGGGTTTTTTCGTATAATGAAATCTGGGTTTGTCCTAAAGGGGTTATTTGTGTGGTTCTTTTAAATGGTTATGAATTCTTAAATTCGGTTTGTGTTGAAGAGGAATACAATTTTCTTTTGTATGAAGAGTTTACTCCCTGAGTGTTATTTTCTGCCTTATAAGACTAGTTATTTTCTCATGGACTTTTTTGTAGAGGAAATTTATTTCATAGTGATGATAATGGATATAAGAAATCATTTGTCGATTTCTCAATCTCAATTCTTGTGATTTGTTCTTGAAGAATTAATGTTTAATTTTTCTTGGTTTCGGATAAAGTTGAACTTTAGTTCTCGGTAGTGTTCATAAGATAAATCTACATGATTTATTTTTTTATTTATTTGCATGTTTTTCACTATTGACCTGAGTTCTCCAATCTGAAATCCTCGTTCTAGAATTTTCTAATAATAAAGCAGCATACGAATTCCATGTTATTATGCTTCTGTGTTGAGATCTATCAGGTTTCGTGTCTCCTAGCGCAAAAACACTCACTAGTTGTGCAATCGAATTTATTTGTTTCCATGTCTTTTCACAGTTATAAGAATAAGGCTAGTTTTGTTTTACTTTTAGTTTTTTGAAGTATTTATCTAAACTGTCCATTATTCACTGTTTTGGTTCTCTTATATGTATGCAGTTACCATATGTAAAATGGATTCTTTCGAGGCTGTAAAGCTTGTGCACGACAGAATCTCAAAATTGGAACCAGAACATGTTGCTAGGAAGATAATTGGGTATATTTACTTGCAAGATCTTCCTGACCAGGAAATGATAAGGTTAGCTTTAGGTCCTGACAGCTTAATCCACAACTTGATACAAAAGGCAAAATCTGCTTTTCTGTTTGCTTCGTCGCCAGTTCTTTCACCTCCAATTTCTCCTTCCATGCCGAGCCCTATTTCAGATCCTTCTCTTCAGATTTCACCTTTTTCATCTCGCGCTGCATTTCAAAAAGTAACTTCTTACTGGGATCCTCAGTTACCTGCTGAACAGCCACCGCAGCCAATGCCTAATCCTGCTTTCAAACTTTTACCATACGCTGATTCAATTCCCGAAGATTATGGTTACCAAAACCAATATATTGGTTTGGACGATCAGTTAGAACCCTTCATTTCTGGAACTTCAGGTTTTCTGAGTGATTTCTATTGCCCAGAAGCTGCATTTAGTGATATGAGTAATAGGGGTAGTGGAATTTCTTCGAATCTGGAGTATCCCGTTAAGACTTGTCACTATTTCAACAAGGGCTTTTGTAAACATGGCAGTAACTGTAGGTATTTTCATGGAGAATCTTTCGCAGAGAGCTATTCGCATATGTTTGGTCCTAATTCCTATGCAACTGCTAATGAAGATCAAGTTTTCTTGCCTGGGTCTCTTGAAAAATTGGAACTTGAAATCACTGAGTTATTGAAATCCCGAAGAGGCCATCCGGTTTCAATTGCTTCTCTGCCAATGATGTACTACGAGAGATATGGAAGAACTCTGCAGGCTGAAGGGTATCTGACTGAGAGCCAGAGACATGGTAAAGCTGGCTATAGTTTGACTAAACTTCTTGCTCGACTGAAAAATAGCATCCGGCTTATTGACAGGTTTTGGACCTTTTCCAGAATATTTTGTCTGTTCATTTGTATATTCTCTATCAGATGACAGTTTTTCTTCTGATTTTCATGAAGCAGGCCTCATGGACAGCATGCAGTCATACTGGCTGAAGATGCCCCCAAGTATATGGACATCCGGGGTGAAAGGAATGACCCTGGCCCTATTGTTAGCGGTTCACGTCAAATTTATCTAACTTTCCCAGCTGAGAGTACTTTTACAGAGGAAGACGTTTCGAATTACTTCAAGTAATGAACTCTCAGTTTTTCGAAGTTGCTTCTTGTGATTGTCCTCAATTTACTGTGTGTTGAAGTTCTAACTGTTTTTTGGTGCTCTTCCCTAGTACCTTCGGTCCAGTTCAAGATGTGAGGATTCCCTGCCAGCAGAAACGGATGTTTGGATTTGTCACTTTTGTGAGTGCGGACACTGTGAAGTTGATTTTGTCCAAGGGAAATCCACATTATGTTTGTGGGGCTCGTGTTCTTGTGAAACCTTATAGAGAAAAATCAAAGCTTATGGAAAGGTATAATTGCTACTTGAATTCAATATTTTCTTGAACAAATGCACTGCTGGTTGCCTATTCATTTGCCAGATTTATTGGTTAATGCTGACAGTTTTCGTACAATTGAAATTTGTCTGTACACCTGTGATGATTTTAACACGACTTCTTCAGTTTGATGGAACTACTAAATATTGTAGACTCTTTCAAATTAAGATTACTATATTGTTATTTTTTGGCACCTGGCATTTGGCAATGCTTATTATGTGTTTAATCTTGATCAGAGATGTCTTATGTTACAGAAATATTTTAATGCTTTAGAAGCTTGGAACATTTTCCCATGTTAACCAATCAGATTACCGAATTCTCAGATATCTGAATACAAACAATTTATACTTGCATGTTACAGGATGATTTATTGATAGCTTTCCTGTTTCAAGAATAACCCGCTCCCTCTGTGCGCGCACCTCTCTCTGACATTTTTTTTAATCCCTTTTGGCTGCAGGAAGTACCTTGAAAAATTCGAGCATCCAATGTATTACCACTCTCACCCTTTTGATATCGACCCTGAGCTTCAAGCGAGTAAGTTATTTGTTGCAAACCCAAATTTTTACAGATAAGAGTTTTACTTTTACTTATTAATATGTCAACTTGCATAAGTGATTAATTTCTTCTATCAATGACAGGATGGGAATCTTCTAGGATAATTAGAAGGCAGCTCATGGAAGAGCATGAACAGGCCCTTGAACTCGAGACAATGCGTCTTTCACAGCTCCGGCTAACACACAAACATCTGGCAAGTCAGTCGTGCATGGGTTATCCCCTGGACGAGTTAAAACCACCTGAAGGTTTTTATTTATTTATTATTATTTTTTTTTGTCTTTCCTTTTACGAGCACAACTTGTGAATTGATAAAGATTATATTTTTCGGGCACAGTGTGTAATTTTTATTATTTATTCTATGATTACTAAGTCAAACTTGGGCAGATCATTCCAAATTTACATCGGTAGAGCGGTTCAATTATCTGATTGATGTTCTGAACAATGGCTCTACTAGCCCTGATAACCCCAAGTACTCGATCATCAATTGTGGTGAGCAGGAAAGGTCTGTAAGATTAATTTTCTTAGTTTTGAACGTTGACTAAAATTTTCATTTACTAAAAATTTTCCAATCGTGCAGCCATCAAGGACTCAATCTCCCAGAGAGCCCCTTTGCATCTGCAGCTAATAGCATTTCGGCCGTCATATAAATTCAGGACAGAACACGAGTTTATAGACTGCAGGTTTTAGAAGGCAACGTCTCTAATCTGACAGATTTTCCGCGTTACAAATCAAATGAAAGCTGCAAGTACATATCGGTAAAGAAGAAACACTTAGGAGCATGTCCTCATTACTCGATCAAGAGGAGGTAGGAAAGAAGACAATGATATACAGAGAAGTACATATAAGAAGTTTCGTTTTGAAATCTCTATCATAGAAAGAGGAAGGATAGAGCTTTGTCCGTAGAAAGAGAATGTGATATAGGAGTCGAGTCTGGCTATGAAAGAAAGTGGTACGTACATATGCAGGTCGCGGAGAAGTGAAAATATGTTTACAATCTCTGTGATAGATAAATAACTACTCAATGAATTGAGTTTCATATTTTGAACTTTGAACTATCTTTTGAATACAGAAATATATGATTACATGGTTTTGTTTCTTGCTCGTATCTTTTGATTGTAGAGCGCAGATTTTGAATCCCCCCCCCCCCCCCC